CGGACTGTGTTCTGAGGCCGGCGCATTTGCATACAAAGCTGATCAAAGCTGCAAGTGACCAAGACTGATTGAAGCATGCATACCGCAGCCCAGGGCAAGGGTCAAACGAAAGATGAAGCAATGCAAAGAAGCAAACGTATACGGGTACGTGAATTGTCAACTGGACTCGGAACAGCTGAGGACTCTTTACAGAGGTTACTGCAAGCATGATTGCTTGAATATCATGCAGCATAGTCCAAAAACCTCGTCATTACTCAAGACATGGGAGTTTGTTGTGGCTACTGCATCTACACCTTCAACTGTCTGTAATTTCTACTGACCCGGTCTCCACACCAATTCCTGCAATGCCCATGTCCTGTCAACTGCATGATGTGGCAACGCAAATCTCCCGTCTGGATTAGGAGGACCCCCCACCCTGTAACAGTGGTATAGTAGAAATATAAGACGACCCAAATATATGACCATCATTCCTTATAGTCACTTTTTTTACTGAGTGGGAGGTCCACCTAACGTCTACATGGTTGCCAACATTATGTTGGGGTCTACCTAAGGTTCCCTACTATACCATAATAGTACACCACAGTGGTGGCAATCATCCCCTTAAAGCCCTACCTTAGCCCAGTTTAAGTTTCACGTTCCTTGTTGCTTTCCATGCGATTCTGAATGATTCTCCATCATTATCCTAGTATTTGCTATCTAGGCGTCCCCTATATCCTAAACCACCCAAGCCTGCTGTGCTGCTCTGTTGACCATGGCAGTGGCCTCCACGAACGAAATCCTGGGAACCGGCATTGTTGGATCTGGTTTATGGTTTGGGGCTTTTGGATTTGGAGGTTTGTGCTACATCCTTCAGTGGGAAGCCATGTGACGTAACAACCCAGAAATGCCTTCTGATCCCCTTTTCCGCATTTCTGGTGGGGGCTGCTGCAGGTATAGGCACTGGGCTGCCTCTAGCCTTGAGGGACACAAGTTTGGTTTCCAACTTCGGGCTCCGAATAGGATCAGACATGAAAGGCTTGCCAAAAAGAGCACCGTCCAGCCGCCAAAAAGGAACTCCTGGTGCTTCAGTTTCTCGCCGGGGGTTGGTAGGAGTAAGGGAATGCGTTACATAGGGATGATGTAGGGACTATATTCCGGCATTCCCTGCTAACCACCAGTAAGTTTTCTGAACTTCGCATGCATTGCGCCACGGGGCTGCGAGGGCAGGGGCTGCTGGCCAAGGTAGTCGCGGAGGGGCCTGAGATCAGCGGCTCCATCGTGGACAGTGGAGTTTAAGGTTTATGGCTGCGGACAGTTTAAACAAATTGTCAGGAGAGATCATACAAGAAGTCTGGATGACAGAGTGCTCAAGGCCCCCGGTGAAACTTTTGTTTGCCCTGTGATGGCTCCCATGGCCTCCAAAACGCATGCCCTCAACACACGAAGCCAACTGCAACCCCTGCGGCCCTACAATGTTTCGTTTGCAAGAAGCCTGCACTGCAGAATCCCAACAATTCCTACAGTCCTACAGTTGTCCCAAGATAGTGCAAGAGCTCCATATAACCCCTATTTATAAAGCCCCTATAGTCTCGATCTTATTTTCCAATATCCCAATAAAACCCCGATATAACACTAATACTACCCCAATATAACCCTAAACCCGAACCCTAAATAGTAGTTTCCATTTCATTTTCCATTATCCCAAAATAACACCATTCTAACCCTAATAATACCCCAATTTCTTGTAAAACCCCTATCGTCACTAGAGTCTCCAATCTATTTCCCCTTATCCCAAGATACCACTAATGATACCCCAATGGGTTAAACCCAAGGTACATGATGTCCATGTTGTTGCCCGAGGCCGAAAGTAGGTCGGAAAGGACGCCATGCGCCAGCGTGTCGATGGCTACCAGGGCCTGAGCTATATAGGGTTACATAGGGCTAATGTAGGGATAATGGCAAAGAAAATGGCAACTACTAATTATTTTGTTTTTGCAGCTCCTTTTTCCAACTGGGTTTAGGGTTTAGGATTTAGGTGAGGATTTGGAGCTTCTTCAAAACGTGTGGGTTTCCCAAAATTGGGGGGTCCTTTTTTTGGGTGTCCCGATAACAATAAGGAATATAGTATTTTGGGACTACACGGGGGTTCCCTTATTTTGGGAAAGTACCACGTGACCCCATTCAAAGGTCCACAATCCAGTGTCGCACTTGCTGCGGAGGGATTGCCGAAGCAGGGATGGTATTAAAAGCTGGGAGTTGAACAGCGCATTGCAAAACGATTGTCATGAGAGTCTTGTGAAGGAATATGTATGGATGATTTTTTTGGGGGAAATCCCATTCACCTGGTGGCTAAAAAAAAGCGCTGCCTTGACACTCCCAACAAACAGGAACCTCACCCTTCAGCGCGTTCATTCTGGTAGGGTGCTCCCAAAAAGAATTTTTCACCTGGGCTCAAGCATGGGAAAAATGAGTGGAGCATGGTTTCGATGCAGCTCAAGTCTGAGCTACTAAGCTGCAGTTGACGCAGGAAGCTTGAAGATCAACCAAAGTGCAGGTGGCGCTGGCCAAATCCCACGCCATCAGGGAAAAACTCGGTAAAACAATACTACTTGCTCCAGGGCCGTCTGATAAACCCTAAATCCTGAGCTGCAGCTGGCGAGAGAGGAAAGACCCCGCCAGGGTTTTCAGCGAGCTTATAGGCTGCAGCCGTGGCACCATGGCTTTAGACATCATAGAGATAGTGTTGATGGTGTTCCTTGGCAAAGGGTCAGGTATGAAAATGGCGCTCTCCTAAAAATGTGGTCAATTTCATGTGGGTTCTGTTAAGGAAGGTTGTGAGAGCATCTGGGTGTATTTCAGGGGGGCAAGTTTGCAAACTCCCAAATAACCCTCCAAATCCTGAGCCATGATCTTGGATAACGGTATCCTACGCCATAACATACTTCTGGGCATGAACTCCAAAGGACATCTGGCAACCCTGACAAATGCCCCTGAGAGTGGCTATTGGCCTCACCCTATAGCATTCATCTATTAGGTTTAAATTAGGTGGACCCCCCACCCAGTAATAGTGACTATAAGGGATAATAGGGATTGTATTCGGGTCCTCTTGTATTCTCATTATACCTCTATTACAGGGTGGGGGGTTCCTCCTTTGGTTTAAATAGGGTTTAGGAAACCCAGGGGCCGCACAAAGTGCGCAACATTCTTTTTGCTTCTGGACTTGTGCAGGCGCCAGAGGGTTGGCTCGAGCATCCCCCATACAACCCCTATTAAAACCCCTATGTTTCCATTTGGACTTTCATCTCCCAATATGACCCCAAATAGCGCTAATGTTCCCCCAATGGTTTGTCTTTACAATGTCAATACTGCGGGAGCAGATGTGTTAATTAGTTGGCCCACTTGCCAGGGATCCCTATGACAGTTTTTATGTTATTAGCGCCCATGATACTGTGACTGCTCTGACTACTACGACCTACTCTTACTACATGTTACTACACATGACTACCATACCGCCTACCCCTACTCCTACTCCTACTACTGCTACTACTACTACCACCACCACTACCATTTATGTAAGGCAGGCACTGGATTCCCAAAAGCTCGAGCTGGGCTTGCGCGTTCGCAGTGCAGATCTCGACCTCCGCCGGGTCAGGGCGATGTTCTTCAGGTCCCAATCATTCAAGGAGGCTCTTGGCTACATTGGACTGCAACCATGACTAGAAATAGTTACAGTGTACTATAGCATACTATTACTAGAGGTAGAATTAGGCTTTCAGGGAATGACATCACGCCTCATTCAAGCTTGCGCATTCTGGCAGAATTCAGAATCTGAAGCCTTGCCCGTAGGTGGGTCAAGGAGTACGTGCTGGCATTGCGGAGGGGTTGCGCGATCAGGGTCCAGTGAAGGGCTGTTGTGTTTCTCTGGGCACCTTTTGGCCTGGGGAGTTGAGAGCCACAGGTCTCGGAATATCTCTGAGTTACGTACCCTCAAAAGTGGCAACTTGAAAGTACAGCAAAAACGTCCCTTCAGGCGCGGACCAGCGGAGCAAATTCCGAATCTGGCGCTCGATCCTGCAAAGAGGCCAAGATCGCGTAGGATTTTCTCGGGAACGAGGGTCCGTTCTTTGAGCTGCTAATCTGCGGAACTCAGACCCGGTGACCCCTAAGCGAGTCCTTGAGAAGCATCTTCATCTGGAGGATCATGGCGACGGTCTGCTCATCTGCCTGCGACCAGAGCCCGTGTTCTGCCAAAGAAGCGAGGGGGTGGGCTGAGCTGTTCAGGACTGCGGCCACGGCGCACTCATGTGCAAAACATGATGTAGCTAATTTGTAAACCTGCCCTCAATAAGGATTTTTCAAGGGAATCCTACTATTATGGCCCATAAATGGGCGGGGCGGGGTGTTATTAATCAGGGTCTACATTATACTTGCCAGAAAGACAAAGATTGGCGTGCTGCATACGCAGGCGCGCACACCTTCATCAGAATGCATGCGCTTTTCATTTCCCTAGTCCCATCTGCCACAGCTACGCCTTCTGGAAGCCAAGTGCATTGTCCGCTAGGATGAAGTTGAAGTTGTAATCCCTGAGGTATGTGGAAAGCATGTGCTCAGAAAGGGTTGCAACATCATGATCACCATGTCGAACATGGGCTAGCTCGTCATGGCAAAAACAGTTCACCAACTAGCTGTAGTCCCTGGCTGCAGGGCTTAAGATCGAGGCTTGCAATTCAACAGCTGCTGCAAAAAGAATGTTGGAGGACCCCTGACTCCAACTGCACGAGATCACTGGGCCTTGGCTACCTTAAGTGACTGCTCCATTGCTACCGAGGTTTGCTGTGCTTGCGCATTGTTCCCTGCAAGACCTCCCTTTTAATCTCAGAACCTCCGGATGTTTGCCATACTGGTTAGGGGTGGAAGCCAAGCATTTTTCTCGGGAAGACTTTGGCGTCTCTGTGGTCGAGCTGCGGGGGTTCGGCGGGCTACGTGTCCCTGACTCGCTGCTGCCCCAGAAGCTGCAGGGGGAGGACACTGAGCTTGTGCTGGGAGGTCATCTGATGCTGGGCCGTTGTGAAGATGGTCCTCACCTGCACGTCTCTCAGAACTGACTTCCCCCCAGATAGCCTCAAAATACATCGTCCTTGCTTAGGGCAAGGGATTTGCAATCCAAATCTAGGTACCCTAGACCCGGATTCTTTTCCCCGGGCTTTCTCTTGTCACAGAAGGCTTCACTAGGGAATGATGGGAAATCTGTACAACTTACCTGCTCTAGCTCTACATTTAGTATTGTTGCCAATCCAAGCACTAAGACGACATGGGCCTGCCCTGGTAGATCCTGGTAAACTCGCTGCACACCGCATCAACGTTGCAAAAAATGCAAGGAATACAAATGCAGAGTTTTCTGCAGGACCCGTACTGGTGTTCATTCGACCCTACACGAACAGTAAACAGCAAAAATCTTAGCACAGCCAACTCCAACAAGTTCCGCTTGTACGGTTACAAGAAATTGATAAAGAACACGAGCGGCTGTCGCAAGCATCAATCTGAACATGCCTGATGTTGAAAAATAGATGACTCTTCCATGCCAGGCATCCCCACAGCTGAGCTATGTCATGTCGCATTACAATATCCAGGCTACGATTCTGCCCTTCAGCCCCTGCAACTGCCGTGGCAGTTGCTGTAGCTGTTTAAGTCTAAGTCTGAGTTGCCTTTCTGGGCCCCTCACCTGGAACTCGCTCCCTTCGCAAGCTAGGCTTTCACAAAATCATGGGTGACATGCAGCGTTGCCGGACTGCATCACCCTCTGCAGAAATACCTAGATCGGGATTGTGCCTGGATGTTTTTCAGCTTGTGGCCCTGCTCGTCCTCGGCATTCTTGATGACTGCCACAGTGTCCTCTTCCTTGGAAGTTTCAAAGGAACTACATGATTCGTGAACGCTCAGAAAAGGCCACAGTATCCTCTTCGTTTTGAAGTCTTGAGGCTTTCAGAATTCCACTCCCGTTCTATATTCCCCGAACGTACAATGGTAGCAGCATAACATTGGAAGATTGATCATGAGGGCCGCGGGTGGTGTTAATTTGTGGTGGAGGGAGTTTTAGGCTGCTTTCGAAGAACCCTTTCGCAGGAGAGGTTGCAAGGAACCGTGAAGCTTGACCTCAAGAACCCCAAGTAGTTTTCATTTTCATTTCCATTATCCCTATAACCCCAATGAACTGCAAATTAGGGTGCAGGGTTTAGGGTTTGGGTAGTACTGCAAGCTGGGGGTCTTAGGGTTTGGGCCTCAGGATTTGGGATTCAGGATTCATATAGGCTCGGAGGCTGCACCAAACGCTGGACAAAAGCATATGAGGGTTGTTGTGACAGGATAAGGAGGTAGGCCATTCTTGATACACCTTCTTAGAAAAGCTGTGTCCAGCAGGTGATTTTGAGGATGGATGCTTTCAACAACTAACACATGACCCTGGACAAATTAACAAACCTCCTCCCAAGGCTCAGAGACACCAAGGAGCAACCAGGACTCTCAGAGAATTCCCAAATACCATATTTTGTCACTCTTCTCCTTCATTCAGCAAATCAACTCCTACTACTATTCTTCTGCTTGGGGTGGAACACGTCAGCCAGGCATCTGAGAGTGCGCAGTAGAGGTCACACACCTGAGCCCCCCAAACAGGTTGGATTGTTCTCGGCCATCCCACTACCTCCAGTGATTGCCCGTATGGGTCCCAAATTAACGTCGCAGTGACTGGCATCCTAACATTGATTTGGCTGGCTACCTCCTGCCTGTGATGGAGGCTGCCTTCTGCAAGACTTTGACAGGTGTCCACGAGGCAAGATCGAGGGCTTAGGGCGTCTTGGTGCAAGTTCGACTCCAGCATCTGAATCTGAAATAAGGCTATGTCCTCTCTGCACTACCATTTGAGGTGAGGTCCGGCGAGGTCGTTCTAATTCGATATCTTTAGCTAGTTTCGTTGTCTAGGTACCCGTAGCAATCACCTGCCGTCATGACCTAAGCAAAATGAATTCAGGCTCGTGGTGTTCTAACGGGCACAAAAATTGCTGGCAATCACCGCAAGTTAGCACTACACCCAAACTACTTGCATTGCAGTGGGAAGGCCGAAGCCATCTGACGTGACATCTGATGCTTAGTACTGTTGCGAAGCTATGGCTTGACCTCGTTGTGCTCAATCATAGCAGAACCTAAGCCATGGCTCCTAGTCATAGCAGCAACAATATTCGGAGTATTGACTGCAGGCAAGGAGCAGAGCCCGCAGACACCATCCTAAAGGCATTCGAGGAGTAAACAACATGAGGATTGCCCAGGGTTTAGGGCAGTTAGAATGGGACTCGGAGGAAACCTTACGTACCATGCCCAGGGCTTTGGAGTGGTAATCTTCCTAGTGTTTCGGGCTTCTAAGATCTGTGCACCCTACCCCAACCACCAAACCGACTGAACAAACTGAGGCCGGGCTTTCTACATGCCTACCTCATGGGATCCTGTAACCAGTGTGGCAAGTGCAGTCCCCATAAGCGTCCTGTGAAACAGCATTGCTTTTAGGTGGGGTAGGCAAAGGGCTTGGGGAGGTAGCCCACCAACCTCACCTCAGGGCCCTGGTCATGATCAGCTAAGAAGGAAGGTTAGAGACGCGCATCGCACAAGCAAGCACGGCAAATACTGTCCAGGCCAGAGCTACCCGACTACACAAACTACCGGCCAACAGAAGGCTACCACAGACACTCAGTACAGCTCGAGGAAGCAGACATCACACGTCTGTTAGCCCAAACCACATTCGAGACCCTGCAAGTCATGCAGGGGCCTTTGCAGCAGTATACAGACTTCAGAATTCTGAAAGCCAGTGCTACTCGTACATCATGCAGGTCATCATGCAGGTTCCTCCACTGTTAACTGTCCTGTTCTGACAGCCATTGCCACTAAGAAGGAAGGTTAGGTTTTAGGCTTAGGGTTTATAGCCCCCCTTAAGTAGATAGAATACGGCTTTGGGTATATTATAATAAGATCCCCATATACTCCATCTTCTATCTACTTAAGGGGGCCTGTAAGGTTTAGGGGAAGAAATCTCCCAACAAAGGCACTCAAGCAGCTCTGGCGATTTTGTTTTTGTTGGGTCTAGAAGCTCAGTTGGGTATGGCAGCAAGAAAACCCTTAACACGGCAGTATCCCGTTCCCGACAAACTATTCTAAGGCTGTGCAGGATTCTCACGCGGAACCATTCTACGGAAGCTTCCCAGAGTCAGGAAAGCCCATTTGCTTAATGGGATCCTCATTCATGGCACTGGTTAAGAGCCAAAGCGCTGTCAGCCGCCGTCACCAATGGTCTTCCTTTTAATTCTTTTGGATCCGCTCTAGCGTCTCTGTCAATCTCCAAAGAGAAATGCTCCCTTTATACTAACCTCTCGCATCCCAACACCCTCAGATCTTGAGTCCAGGCGCTCGTCCAGAGCGAATAGGATCGCACATCCATATCCTCCAGATACCAGGCCCTACACACTGAATTAGTTTGAGACCTACATGACTGAGAGCTGATATGGCCCAGATGTGAGGATAATGATCAAGGTGTGGATCCATGAAATGAGTTCTTGGACAAGCTCTGGACTATGCGAGGAACCCAAGTGAGACCCGAAGACGGTTGCTCCAGAGAACTACGTACGACGTGGCATTTGTTTGGGAACCCAAAGCAATACCACCCTGAAGTGGGGCATCTTACATTTCGGTACTGCCAATGGCAAAGTAAGGTGAGTCATTCCCAACTACTTACCAACCCCTATATAACCCATTATAGCAGTTTCCATTTTCTTTTCCACTATCCTACATAATCCCTGTATAACCCCTATATATAGCCCGTCTCCTCTGTCACATGACATCCGTGACCGGCAGTCCTCGCTCTGTGAAGTTGCAAATCAGCACCTGCACCTGCTCCTTGGCTTGCTACAGGTTATATAGGGTTATGGAGAGTTATATAGGGGCATAGTATAGGCGTATAATATAGGACACAATGGAAAAGCAAATGGAAACCACTATGGGTTTCTTTGCCGGGCCCGATGATGAAAATTCTACCTGCTCTCTCTCATGTGGTTAGGCGGACCTGTCGGGCGCGAATCTCTGCTCTAAACTTTGAATCCTCAACAACAAGACCTGAAACTGTGAAGCCTAAACCCTGAACTCCCTGAACCCAAGCACAACCAGTTCGAGACCCCGTACCCTAAATCCGTAACCTAACAAACCCGGCCGAGGACGGCAGCCACGCGGCATTGTCATTGGGATCCGCCTCCACAAAGGTCGCGGCGCCGAACTTGCGATGCCAGGCCTGCATTTTTGGGGGGTGGTACCTGGAGGTTGTCAAACATAGGGGGTTCCTTGTTGTTTGTGATTACAAATTTATTGTAATAGTTTAGCGTGTATGTTGGGTTCCCCCTGCAAGGTGTTTCTGGGGTCTTGGGCAAGCCCAAAAGAGGGAGGGCACTCTGAAGTCTGCCAGCAGCATTTTGGACCCGTTGGACTGCTCTCATGGCATGAGCGCCACAACGCCTTTAGCCCGCCCAGGCCCAAACCCCAAACCCCAAATAGCACTTTCCATCTTATTTCCCA